TTATCCCTTGGTCTGTTGCCAATTCCACTTCTCAGCATGGTTTTTCAGGGATCACCAATCACCAATTTGGCTACTTTCACGCAGTTTGACAATATTTTCCATTATCAGATTTTTCTAAACCTTTTAATAGGATAGATCATTGCATTTTACTGAGCAAAATATCTAGTTTTGGATTCGATAATTTAACGGTGAATTTCCTTCAATCATACCTTGAAAGTAGGTCTTAATTTGATTTTTATAATGGTTTTGTATCTCGGGAGTATATAGCAACTTCAGGTGTACCGCAAGGTTCGAACTCAGGTCCCCTTCTATTTTTACAGTACATAAACGATCTGTCTTGCAACTTGTCTTGTCTGAATTTATTATTTGCTGATGATATGAAAATCGTCACAATGGTAAATGACATCTCTGATTGCCGTATTCTACAGCAGAATCTTGATTCTATCCATGATTGGTGTCTAGCTCAAAATACAAAATTCTGCCATTGTCAAGAAAAAAGCAGATAATTGTACATCAATATAAGGTTGGGAATAGTGATCTCCCAAGAGTTGATCATATTGAGGATCTGAGTTCGATGAAAAACTAGCCCTTAACTATCATGTCAACCGAAAATTATAAGATGTGTTCAAATTCTAGGGATTTATCGTCAGAAACTGTAGAGCGGTCGACGATATATGTTTTAAAAAAGTTACATTGTGCTCTAGGTTAGAATATGCATCTTTAGTTTGGAAGCCGTCCTATATAACTTATAAGACCTCCTTAGAACAGATACAAAGGCGTTCCTTTAAATATTTGTGTTTAAAATGTGTTGGTTTATATCCTATGATGGACCTTTCTGAGGTTCATCTGTGTTATAGGTTTGGTTTGTCACTCCTTGGTCTGAGGTGCGTTCAGTTTTCGTTAATAATTTTACATAAACTGTTGCATAACGTGATAGATAGTATGTACCTGTTATCACAGTTGAATTTCAATGCACCGCCATTTTGGCTCAGGTCTCACCCGTACGTTAAGTTAGATCGCTGCAATGGAAATTTAGGATTAAATTCTCCATTGTCTTACATGCAATCTAATTTCAATATTATTACATGTGTGATATCAATGTTGATTGTCTGGTCCTTTTGTTGACTAAGTCAGCTGAACGATGTGCTGAGATGAATTATTAATTGAGGGGTTTGGAAGTAAAAAGGTTCAAGTGCACTTTTTTAATTGAATGGTCTAAGTGCAGAATATCATACCTAAAGCATATCCTAACTTGGTGGTAAAATGATTTAAATGCAGGCAACGTTCCCTGGCGCCATATCTCAAAGTCTTTGAGAACATATCAAAATATCCACTAATACAGTATGTGCTAAAATGATTCAAGTGCACTTGAACCATTTTACTTCTAAGGCTTTGGCAACTATTTTTAACGTTTTACGTGTGAAATCAATGTTTTACTTATTATTAGTTAAAACTACGGATTTTGCAGTGTTGGTAGTGTTATAATAATAAACAAAATGAGTACTGATTGGGAACGCAAGGTATCTCTCAGGAGAATTAAGTGTCAATAAGATGTACAAATTATATCAGGAGTTTTGTATTGTCAAACAATAATTACCAGTAAAAGAGTCCTATTACAGGCATATTTTCAATACGGAATTCAATTTAAGATTCCACAAGCCCTATAGTGATACCTGCAGTCGTTGTGACAATTTACAAAATTTAATAAAATATTCTACAAATGAAGACGTGATTAAAAATGCCAAGCAAGACCTCGAGCTGCACCAAAGAAAGGCCCAGAAAGCAACAGATGCCAAAAAAGCTGATATTGCTGAAAATAAAAATGATTCTAAAAATACTGCTGTAATTTGTTTTGATTTGCAACAGGCATTGCCGACGCCATTGTTAACCACCTCTAAAGTATTTTATCTTCGTCAATTATGGACGTATAATTTCTGTGTCTTTGACTTACTGACTGGAAAAAGTTATATGTATATATGGAACGAAACTATTGCATCCAGGGGCTCACAGGAGATAGGATCATGTTTAATAAAATTTGTGTAAAGCCTTCCATCTACAGTTACGAAGATTATTGCATACAGTGATTCGTGTGGAGGACAAAATAAGAATAAAAACATTGCTAAGCTATTGAGTCTTATTGTTCAAGCTACACATGTCTGGGATTCATCACAAGTTCCTTGAACCCGGGCACACTTACATGGAATGTGACGGTAGTTTTGGCTTAATCGAGTAGAAAAACAGGCAAATCCCTCAAGTTTTTGTCCCTGCAGATTGCGAGACTGTGATAAGAGGCACATCGGCCAAATTTATTGTGTACAATATGAACAAAGACGATTTTTACTCTTTTTCGCCGTTCAATGAAATTATGAACGATCCAAAAAAAAATATAGTGACGGTTACCCCGTAAAATGGAAAGAAATTTGCTGGTTTGCTTACTATAAAAGTGAAAGACTAATAATTCGATACAACAGTACCCTAAACATTGATGTAGAGTTTAGCAGTTGCTTAATGGCAACCTCAAAAGTTGGGCGTCCGTGTTTTAACTTTTCAATACTAAAGCCTTTGAATGGCACTTCGATAAAGATTAAAGTCGCCAAGTACAAAAACTTGCTTAACCTATTGGAGTACATTCCGCCCATTCACCATACATTTTATAAAAACATGAAGCATGATGGGAAAGCGTCAACAAAAAAAAGAAAAAAGAAACAAACACAGACCCTGACATTAAGCCAAAAAGTACCTGATATAGATGAACCCCAACCAAGACCAGCTGATTCAGATGAGGAAAATGATGAAGACATCCAAATATTAGATTCTGATTATCAATAAGAAATTTTGTTATAGATTATATTTGAATAATGTTTGGTTTAGTACGGTAGTTGCACTTGAATCATGTTACCACCATAATTTTTGTAACATGTAGGGTACATTTTTGCAAAAATGACAATAAAAAAGCAAAGTTAACAATTAACAAAAAGTTTTTTGTTTGTAATGTTTTATTGGCATTTAAATAAACTTTATATAGTATCACACTTTGATAAATTTATTCCTTGAATTTTCAAATTCAAGTAAACTTTGAAGCCATTTATCTCAGAACTACTAAAAATTGTACTTAAACCCTTTTACTTCCAGGCCCCTCAATTATAACGTTTTTTAATCGCGTCTTCGTTTTATATTCTTCTTTTTTCTACTTCCTTTAGATATTTAGATATATTCTTCCTGTGTGTTCATAGTTTGTCCTGTAAATGGAATCAATTTCTGTTGAGCAATAAAGCATTATTATCATCTGTTCCAAATTGCTCTCTATCGTGCCTAGCATTTCAATGGATTCAATGGTCTTTTGCCATCTTATTGAAGCAATTCTTAACATCTAGGGCAACCATTGCGCACGGCTTCTTCTCTATTGCACAAAGTGCATCTGTTTGGCAGGAGATTCCGCTATTTTGATCGTATTTTCTTTTCCAAGCTTCTATCCATTCCAAGTATTTGATTGAAGCTTTTTTGAGCTATCTGAATTTAGCGATGACCTGAAATAATTATTCTATGATGGCTTTGAATTATGTGTTTTGCACGCCTATGGATGATTGAGGTTCTGATAAAACTTGTAAGAGCTTCATGAGAAACCCTCGAGACAGCAAAATTATAACGCCCGGAAAATTTGCTTAACATGTTTGTTATCTCTTTGATGGAGCTCGCGGCAAGCTTAATATATATTTAGAAATTATCATTTAATGGAAAATAATATAGCAATAATTATATTGTCGGAATTCGTCTTTACGCGATTCTATTTTATTTATGTAGCACCCAGGGGTGAATTAAATTAAGTCAGTCATCTGTTCCGAAAGTCAAGTACTATTAACACGTTCGCTGCCAAGCAATATTTATGATTATGCCACCAAAGCCACAAAAAGAAGACCAAATAAAAAAAAGTTCCCCTGGAGCCATTTTGTCCAGTCAAAATTTATTAGTTATGATTACGTTACCTGCAGTTAGTTTCTTTGTAGGTGTCATTTTCATCTCAAAATTGTCAAATTTGTCACTCGGTCCAACAGACCGAGGCGGCGTGGAAGTAGCTTTTTTTATCATATGCGCCAACTCGGTCCATTTCTCGGTCCGCAGCGATTTTGCGCAATCGACATGTTTCTTCAATTCAGCACGTGGTGTCTATTGTCTTTCTAATTGTATTTCAGTACGTACACACTTTCAGACGGAATAGGCGGTTATTGTTGTTATTTTTGAATGTAGTTTGTGTTTCTACAATGTCCAGAAATCGTGCTTTGACGCAGAAAGAATTAGAAGAAGAGATAGAGCGAATTATGCAAAATCTGTCAGATGAAGCATCTGCATTAGAGGATGACGGTAAGAAACATTCTTTATTTCGTAGATCGATCGCATAGACTTGTAAGTTTCCGAGAATAGATAGACTGCAAAAACGTACAATCCTTCATGCATTTATTATTTTTTTCAGACGATAGTATCGCAGATAGCAACTACGAACCTATTAATGATGAATCATCTGATAGTTCCCCTACAAACTCTACTGCCTCCCTCATGCTTGCGCAAACCGCAGACACCAATGACGATGAGTTATCCGTTACTTCTGGTACAAATTCTCCATCACCAGGAAGTAGTGCTGCCTCCGCGCCTATGCCAAACACAGACACAATTTAGCTGGTAATGCCGGCGCCGCCTCGGATAATATGATATGGAGTATTCCAACAGGTAGACAACCAGTTTTATTAAACTTTACCAAACAAACTGGTACTGAACCCCATCTTGCTGAGCTTTTGCGTGAAGAACCTCTGGAAATGTTTTATTTTTCACTAATTAATGACTCTATTTTTCAATACATTGCTGACCAAACGAATCTATATGCCACGCAAGTTATTACAGATGAAGCAGATTTAAAAGGTACATCTAGGTTACATAATTGGTTCCCTACAGATAAAAATGAAATCAAGAAAGTTTTTGGCTTGCTTTCGTACATGGGTATTGTAAAAATGCCTAATATACAAGCCTACTGGAGCCGAGAAGCTATGTCTAAAAACTCTATGGCTTCTAAAGTAATGACACGTAATAGATTTGAGCTGTTGCTACGTATGTTGCATTTTGCAGATAATCAGGATAATCCAGGTAATGATAGACTGCATAAGATTCAACCTTTGATTGACAAAATAGTACATAATTTTAAAACATCATATGAACCTTCCGAGACTTGATGAGTCCCTTATTCCATTTAGGGGAAGATTAATAATGCGACAGTACATAAGAAACAAGCGCCATAAGTATGGAATAAAAGTATTCAAATTGTGCAGCAAAGGAGGATATACCTATAACTTTAAAATTTATGCAGGAAAAAATTTAGACCAAGGTCATACTACACCCACATCTGTAGTTATGAGTCTTTTTGAGCCCATACTAGATTCGGGCCGCACTCTTGTAACAGACAACTGGTATACAAGTGTAGATTTGGCAAAAAGATTGATGGATAGGCAAACATATTTGATAGGCACATTGCGAAAAAACAGACGAGGCCTTCCAAAAGACCTGGTCAACAAAAAACTTAAATGTGGAGAGATAGCCGCTCTCGAAAATCAGGACGCAGGAAAGTCGTCGGCTGATATCTCTGATCAGATGACAGCTTATCAGACACCTTTGCGTAGAACCTTTAAGTAGTACCGTAAGTTAGCCGTAGAGATTATCCTGAATACTGCAATGGTCAATGCATGGATTATGTATAAGGAAACTGTGAATGCCAGAATTTCCTTACTTCAGTTTCGAAAAGCTGTTACATACAAGTTATGTCAAGCGCAAGACGATGGGTTAGCAGAGCAACCAGATGCAGAGATGATTCCAAAAAGAAAACGCCAAAAGCACGAAATGGGCAAAAGTGATTATAAAAAACGAAGACCTTGCAGTAGATGCTATGAAAAAGTGAGAGCCGAAAAAGGATGGAAAGTAGCACGAAAACTCACTAGAGGACGTTATTATTGTAAAGGTTGTAATGGTGAACCGTTTTTCTGCTTATCATGCTTTAATAAGTTTCATAGATATGAAACTCCTTAGATAGAATTAAGTTTTTTTTTTACGTTTTTTATTTATTATTCTGTAAACTGCCGGTTTTCGTTCTAGATTTTTGCAAAAATAAACGATTTATAAAGTAAATTATTGTTGTTTCTCTAACCTACCATATCCAGAAATAAAATAACAAAATATTAAAATTTAATCAATTTTTTACATAACTGATATGTGTCAACAATCCTCAGACGCCAACTCGGTCTACTACTAGCGTTAAACCAATGCAAAATTAAACAGCTGGCGAAAGAGGTTTGAATATTCGGCTCGGTCTAATCGACCGCGTTGGCGAGGCTGGAAAAATTTCTTCTCGGTCTTATGGACCATGATGGCGAATAAGACAAACACAATTTTGGTCTTATAGACCGAGTTGGCAGCGAACGTGTTAAGAAGGCTCTGGATCGTAACCATAATACACTGGAGCATACGTAACATTTATTATTTTGGAGATTGTTTTTCCTGCCTGATAGCTTGACAAAGCTGTTATAATGTCACGGGAATGCCGTTTTATCATTTAAACTTGCTTATGATCACTGTTTTATGTTTCAGAGTTAGAAGACCTAATAGTCATTTTAAAGTTCTCCTAAAAGTTACAAACACTATAATTTTTTTAGTTTACTTGATCTTTTCAAATAGAAACTTTTTCTAATAGACCATTTTCTCGCGAATAATTTGACACTACACACTCTTATTTTATTTCCACTATTTTTCTGAGTAATTTCAAGAAACGATCATACCCAACAACAAATAATGCTAATATATTAAGCTATTTGCATTTTCTTCTGGTTCGTTGCAAATTTTGTATTTCGAAAGCAAAACCTTTATCACGGATAAGTAGAATAAAGGACTTTTGTATAGGTATACCGAATGCAGATACGTATTGTTTGTTGTTAGGTATGATCGTTTCTTAAAAATATTCAGAAAGATAATGAAAATAAAATAAGAGTGTGTAGTGTCAAATTATTCAAACGAAGATGGCCTCTTAAAAAAATCCGATGAGCCGACCTGTTTCTACATATTTGTCATGTAAACGGAAAAAACTGATGTTTTGTAACTTTAAAAAAATCTTTGAAACGACTGTAAGGCCGTTCGCCTATAAATACGTATTTTTACCGTGTTGATAAACAATGAAGCGATAATTGAAATTAAAATGACAGTATTTGTCAAATATTGACAAGTGAGGCGTTGTTGAGTTCGAAATGATATCCTTGATCGAAGTAGGTAAAAATACATAATGTGTACCATTTAAAAATTGAAAGGAGTCGTTTCGGGAACCGGAAGTACATTAAAACAAATGAGTATGTCAAAAAATGTACACAATAATAATAGACAAATGTATTCACAATTACAACCAGTAATTACAGTAGCTCATACAAATAATAAATGTAATTGCAAAAAGGGCCAACATACAGAAAAAACTGATACAAGTGCTGACCCGATTGAGGCGAGAATAATGCACATTATGCCGTGAGATTCTTAATCGAACTTGAGGAAAAAATATAAATGGTTGCAATTAAATAGACAGAAATACAGAAAAACAGTGACGGAGGATATTACTTCTGCCACATTAATTTTTGGAAGGTTTATTATAAGGTTAATTAATATATGCGTGCATCAGTTCATTTTTCAGTTTCTAGTAGATACTTTTTGTAGCTGACTTTGAATGATTTGGAAGATAGGTTCTTAAAATGGAAAGGAATATCATTATATATTCTACAAATATTAAATGTGAAAGGTCTCTCAAATATAGAAGTTCGATGTAGAGGAGAGAACGGAAGTTACTGCGAATGTTTAAATTATGGACGTCATGCCTAAATATAATCTTATTCCATAAACATGCAGGCGTTTTGGTAGTACCAATTTTATGGAATAATGCTGCTGAAGGAAATCTTTTTTTGTACATGCACATTCAATACATCTTCAATAATAATAAGGTTATAAGGTTGAGCCACCTTGGATAATTACCCGGTATAGTGACGCCACTAGCAGAGGAATGTATTCAATTTACTCGAAATTTTCTAACAGATTTCCCAAAATTGTCTTATTTGGCTGAATGTGCTTCTCAATTAGACGGCCCGGATGCTTTTATCAGCTCATGCATAAATTAACAACTTAAACATCGAACCTCTCAAGTAGCATATACGTTTTATCCTATCCACTCAGAGATGCTGTGCCGCATGCTGCTCCCTGATATAATTACGCATCCTCGTTAATAATTGAGAACATGGCCTAAATGCCATCTCAAGTGCGCTCCATAGGACATACTGTTGCTCAACACTAATTCTATTATGTCACTGCAACGCCTTCTGTAAAGTAGTGCTGTCAATAGTAATCAATTCGTAATGCATACAGAGCAAGGTGTTAGTTGATGTGCCCACAGCAGTATTAGTAATCATTGTATTGTACTGGAGATACCTTAAAGCTTTGTCGTACTCATCAGCATCATTTGCAAAATTCCAAACTTTTTATAATTTCCGAAATGTGTTGTCTAAGGATACCAAAATTAAACTAAGTCCTTTATACTGACTCTGTGTAATGCCAGATTTTGCGACATGGACAAGTTTCTGCTGCCACAGCCTCGAGTCCAAGCGGACATTACGGCAGTGGAGTGTGTTTTTAAGTCCGGAATTCTCAGTATTATTTGTTGAAGAAGGTAATCGACTGGGTAGCTTAGGTTTGGAAACATGCAGACATTCTTAAGACACCCTGGGAAAAGCTAGTAGGTGGTACCACCTCGGTCGACTAGTTCTGACCGACAACCTTCTTTTTGCGTGCTAATGATTATAAGTACACCTAAGAAGCCCGTTGGTAGACTTTCACCGCCACCTTTCAATCGGTACTTAGGTATTGCTTAACGCGTATACAATCACTTTAACGAGAAAAAGTTATATACTGAATACAACAACTTCCGAAACAAAAAAACCTCCATAATGGCACTTGCGACTAGTTAATCCATTGACGTGTTACTGAAAAATTTATTTATTTATTTATTTATCTATTTGCTATTTAACGGATAGGTACACAGGAATCAATTTTAAGACAAAATTGTTCTAAAATAACTTAAAACTTCCAAATGGCTTAACCTACTGTTATGTAAAATCTTCTTAAGCTACGCAAATTACAAAAGAACAAATCTACAGCGTTTCTTGCACTTTCATAGTTGTTACATACTACATATATTGGAGAGGAAAGTAACGCATTGGTTCTAGCTACGTTTAAGTAAAAGTATTTTGAATTGGATCGCGTCTTAGCATTAGGTACATGAACAATAATTTTACCGAGTAAGTATTCACAATTACTAAGCATTTTATATAAAAATACACAAGCAGCGTAGTTTCTGCGCTTCTGCAAGTTACAGAGGCTATATCTGTTAAGTAATACATCATGTCTGAAGCCAACTTCTGGATACGTACCATCTTCCATGTACCACAAATATTTCACAAACCGCCTGTGAATACGTTCAATTTCATTCGAGTGAACTTCGTGAAGAGGATACCATATTATAGAGCAGTATTCAATTTTGGATCGAACAAATGAGATCATGGTATACACATTATTGAAATCCCAACAATTCCTGATGATGAAGCCCAAACTTTTATAAGCCTTGCTAACAACAGCATCAATATGCGAAACAACAAATGTAAGTTTGGTATCAAAGAATATACCTAAGTTGCGAAATATCAGTGTTATATATGAATCTGATTGGAACAAGTTTGCGCGTATTAGACATAGTGTAGCATTTATCAGCATTAAGGTACAGCTTGTTACGGTGACACGACTCATTTAGGTTGCCCAAGTCATTTTGCAATATATTACAGTCGTCCATCATTTCAATTTTACAAAAAATCGTCAAGTTATTTGCATTTAGAAGACAGCTACTGTGTAGCTCCCCAATGACGTCATCAATGAAGATTTCGAAAAGCAAAGGGCCAAGAGTAGAGCCTTGAGGTACGCCGGAAGAAGGTATAATAAGAGTCGACGTGAAGCTCCTCTATTCGACTTTCAAGCATCTGTTTGTAAGATAAGATTTGAAAAAATTCACTAATTGGTAGATCAACCCTCGCGTAGCTGATTTCCTTAACAAAATACCATGAGCTCATCAAAATCCTTAGAAAAGTCAACGTAAGTAACATCTACTTGCCCCCGTCATCAACAACTTCCGAGCAAGGCTGTTTGGAACACGCTGGATTAGTTAATGTAGATCTGCCTTGGCAAAAACCATGTTGATTTGGAGAAAATGCATGCTTAACATGGGAAAAAATTATACCGTGCAATATACATTCGAAAACCTTACCAACGTTGCTTATAATCACAACAGCTCTGTAGTTCTCAATGACACAACGTTCGCCTTTTTTAAGTATTGGAGCAATCCTAGATGTTTTCCAAGCCATGGGAAATATTGTAGTATTAAGAGATGTGTTATACGGTTGAGGTAAAGGCTCAGCTAAAACAAAAGCACAGTCTTTCAATAAAAATGCAGGGACTAGATCTGGAGTGGAAGATACTTTGCGTTTAATCTTTTTCAAAGCGACAATAACCTGTTTCTCAGTAACTATTGGTCTATTTAAGGGTAATGAGGCGTAATCCACTGAATCTGATTG